GTACTGAGTCACGGGCCAGAATGGAGATTTGTTTAGACCATCTATGTCTTTGTGTAAATGGAAATGATGGTTGTACTCTTGGTGGTGCCAGGGGTTTTACCTAGCATATTAAAATGTGGAGAAGGTAAATATATATACATCATTTCTAACTGTTCTGTATGAGAGATTTTTGAACATTATTGAACACTGAATTAGTATTCTAATAGTTTTCTTAATTTGAAAAGGCAGTCAGTTGTGTCTGAAAAATGCCTCTTGATGAGGTAACTGAAGAAAACTTTGAGGGTGCTATTTAGTTCCTTGTAAAGAAAATGGTGACTTTCTGACACAGGTCATGAGTGTGCAGAGTCTCATGCTTTACATTGTATATTGTAAGCCTATGAAGAGTTGTGAGCATTGGCAGAGAGAATCTAAACTCTTAAGACAAATTTTATGTATTACACACCTTATATTTTTCAAAATGATTAAATAATGTAGTGGCATATGCTTTCTATGTGTCATTTGGCTTTTGTCAGATGAGCACAGTGATGGATAAATTGTAGGAGGTTTGTTTTGTTTTGTTTTTGTGGTGCTGAGGATTTAACCAAAAGTCTTCACACTGAGCCACTTCCCCAGCTCCTTATTGTTTACTTTGAGACAAGGTCTCCCCCCATTACTAAGTTGCCTGGTGTGGGCTTGATCTGTGATTCTTCTTCATCACCCCCCACCCCAGTGCTGGCATTACAGGCGTGTGCCACCATGTCCAGCAACTGTGGGGTTTAAGGATATGATTTTTAAAAACTACTGAAGGAGATAATACTTGTGCCAACATACTCACTTTCTACAAAACATTTCCAAGTCAAAAAGTATGTATTGAATGTCTTCTGTTTGTACTCAATTACATATTTGTTGCTCTCTGGAAAAATTATATGCAGTTTTAAAATATTAGCTCATTTACTATGCTATCAAAAACAGTTCAAGATTGTAACTTATAATTTAAGTACGAGAGTGTGCTGCTGTTATACTATCAGTGAATATGAATATGGAATTCGCTATAACGTAACCCAAAATGAGCTGGTCTTTTTTGTGGCTGTTGCTTCCCTTGTGTACAGTTGCCTGCACATAGGCTGGAGGCACAACACTTTCATCCCTAACGAGGCAGCGGGTTCAGGTCACACCTGTGACTGAAGGGCCCTGTTTTGAGCAACCCGTCTGACAGATCTGAACTCATCTTACTCAGGTCTGCTCAGATCCTCCAGGGTAACTGGTGTGAAAGATCGGTTAGCAGCAATCTACTGTGGAAACAAACTAACAAGTCAGTACACGTCAGCCTGCCAGAGCAGCCACAGTGATTCCTGTAGGAAGGGCAGCACCACAGGGATGGTTATCTCAGAATAAACGGTAAGAGGCTTTTAGAGAATATTAGGCAGAGCTATTTTTAAGTGTTGACTAAGACAACAGCCCAGGATCACACCAGAAAATTGAAAATAATGGTAACAGCCTAAATGCTCATGCTTGGTGTTTTACTCTGTCTTCTACTAGTTTCTTTTAATTATATTTTCTCTAACAGACATGCATGACCACACACAGACACTTCTGCTTTGTTCAAACGCAGGTACTCCATGAAGAAACCACCATTCCAGGAACAGATTTAAAACTTTCCTACTTGAGTTCCAGAGCTGCAGGGTATAAGTCAGTGCTCAAAATCACCATGACCCAGTCTGTCATACCATTTAATCTAATGAAGGTTCATCTGATGGTAGCTGTTGTTGGGAGACTCTTCCAAAAGTGGTTTCCTGCCTCTCCAAACTTGGCCTATACTTTTATATGGGATAAAACAGATGCATATAACCAAAAAGTCTACGGTTTGTCTGAAGCTGTTGGTAAGTTCCATAAATCTCTGCACTGAAAAAATTGCGTCAGTGTCAGAACTATCATAAATATTGTATCGCATGCATTTTTATTTTCTTCTTTATAGTTTTACTTCTCTTTTTATTACCTTTTTATGTTTTCTGTATCTGACATTGAGTTGGTTTCAACTGATAATGATTAACAGAAATCATATAAAATTTGTGTGGGGGAATTATGTCTGCTCTTTTGGCTAAAAGGGACAGTCAATTTAGTGGAAGAACAATTTTAAACCATCAAACCACTTGTTTTATTAAATGACTCAACAGTGCTGTCAAAGATTGACATGAGATCTATTGCTGAAAGCTCAACTCAGAACCTCAAAAACTAAAAGATAAATTTTTATTCATTTTTTACCTAAAAATAAAATAGGCATTTTATCCTAAAATTAAAATGTAATTTGCACGTGTTTATTCAAATCAAATAGTTTCCACTTCTCCCTTCATTTTTTGTAAATTTTAAAATTCAAATTTGATTGTGAACATTAAAATTCTTTCAATTATGAATTATTAATTTACTGCTAGTTTGTTTATTCCTGATACGTGTAAATACATTATCATAATCTTTTTGTATTCTAGTGAACCTTATTATCAAAAACATTTTCCATGGTTGCTCTTTAGAAACTAAGCAGCTTTAATTATTCAAATAGCAAACATTATTTTAGTTATTGTCTAATCACCATTAAGGGCTAACTTATCTGACCCTGTTACTTTACCAGTTGCCTAATCTAAACTTGATTTTGTGCTGTGAAAATCTTGTGAGAGATTGATGTGATGAGGGAACTGAACTCATTCCTATTAAACCCATAGAAAATAACATTTGGAGGTCATTATTTTGTAATGCTTTCATATGGTTAAGTCATTTATATAAAAATAAATTGAAAATATGGCTCAGAACGCAATTTTGAAAGAGATTTTTTTTCAAAGTAATAAAATAAACCTCCACCTGTAGTTGGAGGAATGAACTGTGACTTGTTTTGATTCCAGTGTCAGTTGGATATGAATACGAGTCGTGCCTGGACCTGACTCTGTGGGAGAAGAGGACTGCTGTTCTGCAAGGCTATGAACTGGATGCTTCCAACATGGGTGGCTGGACTTTAGACAAACATCACGTGCTGGATGTGCAGAACGGTAAGATCTTGTTCACAGAGAGTTGACGTCACCCACCCCACCCTGATTACACTGATGTAACATTTTATCCTGTGTGTGCTCTGAAATTACTCTTGGTAGGAAAACTATGAGGTACTTGTAAAGACGAAAATCACAAAGTGGAAACTGTGCAAGATTCTTTCACTGGACTTTTAAATGTTTATATGTTTCTCACCACAATAAGTTATCATTTGAATGTGACTGATACTACATGAAAGGCTTCTGTGTGGGAGAATTCACCACAGAGTCACCCGCAAGCATCTAATTCTGCACAAGTCTGTGAGTGTAGCCAGAGCTCTCTGGAAAGGTATACTGGAAATGGAGGCAGGGACTTCTCTAAGGCAGAGAGAAAATTAAAACTCCCTGTGACTTGGCCAGCCGTGGTGGCACATGCTTGAGAGGGTGAGGCAGGAGGATTGCTGCAAGTTCAAGGCCAGCCTGGGCTAAGTAGTGAGTTCCAGATCAGCCTAAAATACATGGTAAGACCCTGTCTTAAAAAAAAAAGCTATATGACTTTTCCAAAGTATTTCTATTAGATTTTTAATTCTTAGATCATTAGTCTATTCTACATACATAGATGTTTTTTAGTACGTGAACTATATTTGTAAATTCTACTCAAGGAGGGAATGAATAATCTGAGAAAAAACCAGGAATCAAAACTACTACTTGTAGCAGACCTGATAATGTGATAAATGGATATGCTCTGAATAAAATTGTTCCAACATCATAAACCAAAATATGATCCCCTTCCTCTCATAAAGAATATTATTTTTATTAAGCAAATTATGTTGGTTTTACCGTGTTTGTGATATTTTGCCCACATTTTTGTCTGATGTCAGATAATTTAAAGGTGCTTTGTTAGAAAAGCAAAATCTTGAAATAACCTATTTTAATCATTGTTTATAAATGACCAAAGGAGGAAATTTTACAGCACTGGGGAATAGTCTACCTTTGAACTTCGCAGTTTTTGGAAGGCTTAGAATGTTAATTGAAAATATAACACAATTAAACATTCATGATTAATGATTGATTTTCAGATTAATACTGCATGAATGTTAATTCAATTTTTTAAAAAAAAAAACTTTTCGTAAGTATTGAAAAGGACACATGTTAGCTACCAAGCCAGTGTGTGAAAATACTGGTATCTTCTCTTTAGGAGATAAATAGGACTGAGCAAATTAGTAATAAGAAAAAAATCAGAAATATCCTGCACACCTTCAGTGTTTCAGAGCAATAGAAAGTTCTGATTTCCTTTCAGTTACATCCTGACCATTAGGGTGTAGTTCAGTTTGCATACCGGGAGGTTGTGAGCAGAGCACGTAACCAGTGCCCCGGGCAGCACACAGGTTAGAAAAGCAGGCCTCCCAACCAACAGGCAAGCTCCATGTTGTCTCTGAGCCTGTCTTGAATCATTGGTGTTGTCTTCAAGCAGTGGTAGTCCATTGTGTGAGCAACACAAGAAAAAAATCATGGTCTTTCAAAATGCAAAGCCATGTGCTACCCATGCTAGTAGCTGCCCTTAAGTTATTTAAAATTATCTTACATAATTTGCAATTATTTCCATGTTCTTTCAGGAGTCCTTCCCAAACAACACTAGGGAAAACCTCTCCAGATATATTTTACTTATAATGAAAATACAGGGTAAAATTCATAACTACTGAGCTATAGGATTTCATGCCCGAGATTGTAAAGTAGAAGGGAGACTGTAAGTGAAGAGCTTTAACTCCTGTAACTCACTGCTGTTAGAATACTTAATATCACATTAGATGGACAAGGAAACTTCTTGGTATTCTAAATCCAGGCCTGTTGTCCTGTTGCGTGCTTATAAATTCAGCGCTTGGGAGGCTGAGGCAAGGGGATTGCTGCAAGTCTTAGGCCAACCTGGCCTACTTACTGGGCTCAAGGCCAGAATAAATTGCATAGCAACTCCTTATCTTAAAGCACATGTAAAACCTGAATGACTGCTCTCTTCACATATGCTGCACATATGCTAGAACTGGAATGATTCAGAGATTGGCATGGCCTCTGCACAAGAGTGACACACAAATTCCTGAAGCATTCCATACTTTTCAAAGAAAACTACTGAATTACCCAAAATTCTATACTTCAAAATATAAGTGCTGGATGTGGTAGTGCAGGCCTATAATTACAGTCTCTGGCGTGCTGAGGCAGGAAGATCACAAGTTCAAATCTAACCTTGGTAACTGACTTAGACCCTGTCTCAAAATAAAAAATAAGAAAGAATTTAGAATGCAGCTCAGTGCAAAGGCCATGGGCTTAACCCCTAGTACAGCAAAAAAAGTTGGAAGTTATAAAATGTGTGTTGTTTTTAAATGTGAAATAACCTAAGTCACAGAAAGAACTGATTGGAATTTCAAATTTTATCCAAGAACACTTTGACAAATAGTGACTTTCCTAAGTGGCATGTGTCTAATTGAATAAACAAAGTGATTTGTAATCATGACAAGGTGGATGAGCTATAGAAGTAGATTACAGAAGATGGGAAGGCAAAAATGTAGACAGTGACAAGCATTTGTGCAAGCACCCCGAAACAGAAATAAATAGTTTAATGTTCTGCTTTCTATTGTGCCATGATAGAGAATCATGAAGAGCCAATCTTTCAAAGTAATGACTGAACAAATCAGGTGCAGTAGAGCAGTAGGCTGACTTGTAGAATTCTTCTGATGAAAATTGCAGAACTGGCTTGTATAGTAAATTAGTTTTGCATAATTACCAAATAACATAATCACAGAAAGAAGAATCGTAGGTATCATTAATGTATTCTTTGAATATTCAAGGCAAAAGGCATTTTATATCTTGTTATGATCCAGGCTTCTTAAAACTGTTTTTTCTTAATTTTGAAGAAACCTGTTTTAGCTTTCCTGATTTCTTTATGTAAATTTGCTATGAGTATTACATCACCCAAATAACAGAGCATTAAAAAAAGTAATCATAGGATGTATCTAAAATGTTCTGAGCAGTAAGGAAAGCATAATTATTTTGATCACTTTTTCACTTTAAAATTATCCCATACTAGAACAAACAATACTTTCTCAAGTTTTCTATTTGTTCTTTCATGGGTTTATTCTTTTAACAGAGTATGTGCTAAGAAATATAGTCATTTGCTCTAAGAATTGCTTTGAAATGTAGAAGATCCAATAAATATAATATATGAAGCTCTAAAGGCAGAGCAGCAGGTGGTTTATACAGGTAATTAACACATTGAGATGTGTCATAAAATATGCATTGAACAGCAACAGCTGACCATCCAGTGTATATCAGACCAAAATGGAGCCACTGATCTACCTATACTAGTGGTAAAATGAAAAACTAGTCTCAAATCTAGTTTCTAACTATGAAAATCTTTAATACTTCTCTGGAATTTTTTCTCAGATGTTCATTGAACACTACAAATGAGCAGACTTGCTTTTTTCTTTATAAAATCATTGGCACTTTCATGCCTTGAAGTAGAATTCACTTTAAATAATAAATTAGCCTTTCACAACAGTTTTGTTATGTTTGACATTTTGAATAATTTCATATATATATTCTTATTTCTGATGAGCATGTAAGCAAGAATATTCTTTGACAACATAGTAGAAATCAAGTAGGCCTCCATCAATGAAAGGTATAGCTTAGTGGTAGAACACACGCTTAGAATATGCAAAGCCGGGGTTCAGTACCCAGTGAAACTCAACCTTCTGGGACCTCTGCTATAATTAGCAATTTCAGATAAATATTTTTTTACTTCATTTTCTATGAAGTATTTTAACTTTTAAAAAATGAACGATAGGGCTGAGGATTTAGCTCAGTGGCCTAAATGTCTGCCTGGCAAGTGCAAGGTTGTGAGTTCAATCCCTAGTACCAAAAAAAAAAAAGAATTTGGGTTTCTATTTTTTATTGTTAATCCTTTCTTCCTTTCACTGGGCATTCTTTAAATTTATCATAGGAATTACTTTATATACCCTATGGACTTACCATGTAATTTTTATATTAGTAGCTGAATAGAGTTCCTTCCAACAATAGAATTTTAAATAAAAGTGTCCCTGTCTAAATCTAAAAGGCACTGAGTCTTTCTTAGATCTATAGCAAACATTTTGACTTTTCATCTTTATGCTTTTTATCATAAGAAATATGCATTGTTTTTTCTTCCAGGTATACTGTACAAGGGAAATGGGGAAAATCAGTTTATCTCCCAGCAGCCTCCGATTGTCAGTAGTATCATGGGCAATGGACGGAGGCGCAGCATCTCCTGTCCAAGCTGCAATGGTCAAGCCGATGGGAATAAACTCTTGGCCCCAGTTGCTCTAGCTTGTGGGATAGATGGCAGCCTCTATGTAGGGGATTTCAACTATGTCCGCCGGATATTCCCTTCTGGAAATGTAACGAGTGTTTTAGAACTAAGGTATGTCTTTCCTTAATTTAGGATCTTAATAAAATCTAAATGTGCCTTTTTAAAAAGAAATGTTGAATGTGATATATTAATTTATTTATAAACCTGCGTTTTCAACAGCTAAAGCTCTCCCGGTGGGGAGGGGTCAGTTCTTGGTTAAAGATAGCAGGGTAACATGTGTGTATTGTTTTATAAATATGTGTGTAAGAGAGTAAAATATTTGACCACTTTCAGTGAATTTTCTGTGCACTAATGGGATGAGACTATGATTTTTAAATATTTATGGTTTTCTTTAGAATAACCCTATAGTATCAGTATTCCTCTTTTATTTCACTGTGGTTGAAATTAAGACATAAAATATTTTCTTCCAATATCAAGGCATGATTGTAATGAACAAAGTTTACAACTTTTTATTAAAATGTTGAATCTTTAAGTTAGGTCAACCCATAATGCCAATAATAAAAGTAATATCTGCTTTGCTTAAACGTATTATCAAATTAACCTATTCTGTCAGTTATTTCAGAAGTGTTGGCCTGCAAAATTCATTTCCATTGTTACTTCTGAATATTTTCCATATAACTAATTAAAATCTCAATATTTACTTCATATTTTAGAAGCCTTTTCTAACTGTGCTTTTTTTTCACTTTTTTTTATCTGCTTCCGCCAAGAAATAAAGATTTTAGACATAGGTAAGCATTTTGCTTAAAGGTTATTGCGTAATTTCAAATGCACTTTTTACATTTCAATGTGACTTTGAAATTGTTTTCTAATAACATCATCATGGGAGAGGAAACTCAGTATCAGAGAATGTCTAAAGATTAAACCCACTTAAGTGAGCTGTTATTTTACAATATATTGCAAAATATATTATGCGTTTTATAAGATACATTTTGTTACAAACAAAACACTATAATGACTACCTCTGTATAACTATAATACAAAGAGAGTTGTAAGCTTCAGTCGCTGACCTATGTAATCTGAGCTATATTGAAAAAAAAAATTTTTAATAGAAAAGTTTGAGGAAGTCTTTTTAGTTTGACCAGGATGCATGGCAGATCATGTTTGTTGTGCCCAAAGTTTATTCAATTTGTGATACTTTGATTAAGAAAAAGAATCTAAAAATACTTGACTTTTAAAAATATTTTTTTAAAGATATGATCATGTGAACATTTTGTCAGTGCCTTTCTCTAGGCGTGGAAGGGATCCATGCAAATGTGGAGTCCTGAAACTTAATAGGCTTTATTAGCTTCCTGCTCCATCATCTCTGCCTATAATGTTCATTTTCCTAAGTTGGAAAAGTGACTAGATTTAAGTAATCTGCATTGCTGTTATGAAGCTAATTGACCGTCTTTAAAGCTGAGGATGTATATAATTAAAGCAAATCTATCAGCAATATTTTACTTGCTGTGTACACTTAGCTGGAGAAGGTGCACTAAAGGCTCTTATAGATACCTTTCGCTGAAAGCCGTTCCTCAGGACAGCAAAAAAAAAAAAAAAAAAAAAAAAAAATGGGAGGAAAGCAATACTTCAAAATAAAACTAGGAAAAAGCAAGACAGCTTGGACATGCTGGATGTAGTATGGCTGTTAAGATAGCTAAGGCTGTGATATCAGATTTTAAAATTAGAGGTATTTCATGTGAGATACTTTAGATCAATAAATCAACACAACCTATTTAAAAGATTGCATAAAGATTGATAACTAGCAAATAAAAACAAAGGCCCACTGAAAGCCATTGCACATCAGAGTGACCAGGCATGGTCCTGTGACCTTTTCCGGAGATCCCATATTGATCTCATACTTTCAGCTAATGGGTCACATGGTATGATTAACACTAAACCTCCACCAGCGTAGGGAGTGTGCAAAGCTCTGCTCTTAGAAACCACTGTAGAACATCAAAATTTTTCCAGCTTTGCTTTCATAGTTGCTCTGGAGAAAGGTGGAAAGACAAACAGGAATATACACCAATTCAGTCTGAAAATGCTGCAAGCAATAGGTGATAGAAAAATGATCAAGAAGTTACCTTTTTAGGAAGCTGACCTGTCCTGTTAGGCACAGTGAGTGCCAGATGTTTTATGTATGTTACTGCAAATCCACACAGCAGTCTTTCTGGGCTATAGTGAAGCAATGGATGTTACCTTGAGGATGTTACCTATCTCCTCCCCCAAGATATACAGCTCAGAAATGTGGAGCAGAGATTTGAAGCACTCTAAAAACACATTCTTTCCACTGTACCACACTCCCTGTTTTTATATGTTCCAATGATGAGGTTTCTGTGGTAGAATTTTCTGAGATGCAAGAAACTAGACTTATTTCACAGTCATTTTACAAGTTACTTACCGCTATAATCTCTTTCTCTGGAAAAAAACAACCTGGAGTTAGAGCTCTTATTCATAACATGAACTCACTTTTTAGTATGAGCTCACTATGTACTAATTCATTATGTACTAACTTGAAAGTGGTACTCATTGTAATCCCTCTCTCATGGTTCTTCATCACTTTGCTCTTCCGTATATCATCCTGACAAAATTTGGGGCTTCTACATTTCCTTTACATGCTATGCATGCAAAATGTATAAAGTTTGAATTCTATATTGATATTCATCTATTAAATCAATCAGTGTTAACCAATTGTGTTACCTAATCACTTATGATGTACCAGGTATTTGACAAATAGTAA